GGCACTCTTTCTCAATCGTGGAGTAATTTTTTTGATAACGATTGAATTTCTTTGAGCATACAGGATGGTCAATACCATCGTCGTCTTCCTGTAAAAGTACGCCCCCAGCACCAATATCACTAGCATCGACGGCTAATTTAAAATCAATATGAACATTTGGTGCTGAAAGAACTGGTGTGCTTTTAAGTACGGCTTTAAGTTTGTCAAAGGCGAGTTGACATTGGTCTGACCAAATAAATTTCACCCTTTTTCTTAGTAAATTAGTTAAAGGGGCAGCAATAACAGAAAAATTGTTACAGAATTTTCTGTAATATCCAGCCATACCAAGAAAGCGCATCAATTGATTTTTACCATTAGGTGCAGGGAATTCGGAAATAGCCTGGACCTTAGCTTCAACAGGTTTAACCTGCCCCTGCCCAACAACATGTCCTAAAAATGTTACAGAAGCATGGCAGAATTCACTTTTAACTAAATTAACAGTCAAATTTGCTTCTGTGAGCTTGTTGAAAAGGTCCTTGATGGTCTGTAGGTGGTCTTCCCAGCTTTCCGTGTATATAATAACATCGTCAATATAAGCGTCGCATCCGTCAATTCCCGCTATAATCATATTGACCATTCGCTGAAATGTAGCAGGCGAATTTTTCATGCCAAATGGCATTACCTTGTACCTGTCTCTTATACACATCTAGATGTGTATAAGAGACAGGGCTTAAGCGATGGCCTTAAAGGTATCTGCCAAAATCCTTTTAACAAGTCAAATTTTGTAACATACCGTGCATTTCCGATTTTGTCGATGCAATCATCAATTCTAGGTAGTGGGTAAGAGTCAGTTTTTGTGACAGTATTTACCTTTCGGTAATCCGTGCACATTCTGTACGGTAGGTCTTGTCAGGTTTGGGTACAAGAATACATGGTGAGCTCCACTCACTTCGGCTACTTTCAATAAAGTCATTGTCGAGTAAAAATTTGATTTCATTTTTCATGTATGTTTGTTTAATGGGATTCAACCTGTATGG